AGAATGTCAGGAGGGCCAATAAGCTGCAGGTGGAAGTGACAGCAGCATCCAGACACGACGTCCCCGTGAAGGTGGGGCGCTTATATTGGGCACACAATTAATTGATGTGAGCATGTGACTCCCCACTCATCCTCAGATCCAACGCAGGTGCAGGCAACATTTGGGCTCCAACATGGAGATGCTAGACTTCCAGCCATGAACTTGGCTGTGACCTTGTTCGGCTACACCGCTCGTTGATTCTTGCAAAAAAAGGCGGCGACCGGACGACTGCGAACTACATTGGAGCCGGAGCCGCTTCCGAAGTCGCACGAGGACAGCAGCAGTGAGTAGCGGCTGAGTGGCTAAAATCATTCTGATTTGTTTGAAGGAACAGCCTCCAGAGCATCATCCGACGAATCCGCCCCAGGCACTCATCCAGCATACTGTCGCCGAGTCTTGTTTCAGCAAGGCAGACACTTTTTAACTTTGTGCGAGGTCTTTGGCCCGGATTTGCGTCGACCAGCCGAGCCGAAGGACTGTTTCAATTGTCAATGTTCACCGAAAATACCCACATATCTTGAAGACGACTGCTGGCAGGACCCACCGCGAAACGTTTGACCCGACTCCGTGCTGTGGAGTGAAGAAGAAGCATGCCAGCTGGGCTGGGTGGCAATCCGGACAATTAGCAGCAGGGGGCACTGAAGAAGTGCAAATCAGACAGATAGGCATAGGCAACACCCCATACAAAGGATTACATAGATCCCTAAATCCCCCTCACCGATCCCACAAATCCTACGGCTTGTGCTTGAAGTACAAGGCACTGAAGAAGTGCAGCCACACCCTGAACCTTTGGGCACGTTGACTCTTGACATTGACCAGCACAGCCGAGGAACTTCGCGAATTTCAGCTGACCGACATCAAGGAGTGTCCTGCGGCAGATAGGGTCCGAAGTTCCGGGGTTGGGTGCTGGGTGCGAGGCACTTCTTCAGTGCTCTTGCACTCTTTCAGTGCACGTGTTTGGTTTGATGAATTTACTCAATGCCTTTCGTCAGTTGCACTTCTGCAGTGCCATCATTGAACCTGTTAATGCAAGTGCACCTGTTCGGTGCATCCACACTGTGCACTTCCTTCAATACGACTGCACTTCGCAGTGCCGCTGATTGGGTTGCACTATGGCGGCGCTAATCCATTGCATCACTTTTCGGCAAGCATGGGATTGGACCCAACCCCCCCCCCCCCACCACTGACAGCACTAACATCAAATCGAAGCCGAAGCCCTGACCGCCCTGACCCCACGTAAACCAACTGGGGGAAATCCAACGCCTCTCCCCTACCTCCCACTCATTCACCCCACCGCAGAAATTAAGCCGACACCTTTGCAACCCCAACTGAATCCCAACTATCCAGACCTCCACCCCAGCACTTTCACAGTGCTGTTGGTGCACCTGTTCGATGCTCTTGGTCGCATGGGCACTTGTTCTCCAGTGCTGTCGCACTTGTTCAGTGCTGTGGTGCACTTATCCAGTACTGTTGCACTGGTTCAGTGCTGTTGCACTTGTTCAGTGCTGTTGCACTTGTTCAGTGCTTTGGTGCACTTGTTCAGTGCTTTGGTGCACTTGTTCAGTGCTTTGGTGCACTTGTTCAGTGCTGTTGCACTTGTTCAGTGCGATGCACTTTGCCAGTGCTTTGGTGCACTGCTTTCAGTGCTTATGCTGCACCCATGCACTGTCCCAGTGCTTTCGTGGTGCGACACAGATTTTGACTCGGCAATAAGATAGTATCTTACATTACTCCGTTGAATTAGAAAAGATTTAGGATGCCAAAGATATGTATTAAAGTTGTTTGCGATGTACCGGGTTTCTTTATATTATTTGTTGAACCCAACATATGACCTTACGGTTTTGATTTGATCAAATAGAAAGCTGACCCCGACATGCCTTCTTGGACCGACTCATTCGACAGCTGTTTTCTAAGCGTAAGAAAACGTTTCTTTCATGAGAGGTTCACAGAAATCACATGGGTTTCATGCTCCAACACCAGATAATCCCTTTTATAGATGGAAAACAACATGGGAAATCGAGGCTAGCTATGGCACATGTTCACACCAATATTCTCTTTGAAAGCTGTTTATGTTGAAACAAACATCGGGAAACAACGTTGCAAAATGTCGTTCTATATGTCAAAACTCATGGCCCCAATAGCTTTGGCTCATGGCCCCTTTACCGTGGCCAGTGCTTTAAAGTTGTCGGTCCGGCGGTGTTTTTTTATCCACTAGGTACCGCGAACCCATTGGCCGATCAGCTCTCGCTCCGGGCTGTCCGGGAACGTAGTCGCGCCATGCCCTTTTCAGCCAGCACCGCAACGGAAAAGCTCAGTCAATTGGCGCAACAATCTGCTCCAGTGTGTGCATTCTCTAGCTTGCTGGACAGTGCCAATGGTACGGCGAACATCGGAACCGATGAGAAGGCACGCAAAAGCCTTTGGTACAACGGCTTTCTTACCATTTCAGGACTTCTTGCCTTTGCGGTGGCCATTTCACTGAACGCGCTTGCTTTGTGCCCCGTCCTTGTTGCCCTTGTCCTTTTGGTTCCCACTGTACAAGGTGCTGCCCCGGGAGCTGCTCCTGCATGCGCGTACGGGAGTGCCGCCTATGTCTTGCTAGTCCCTTTGGTTGTGCGCCTTCCCAGCAAGAGGTTGGCGTTGGTACTTCTCATGGCTTGGGTTGTTGCTGGAGTTGGGCCTGCCGACGAACGTTGTAGCTGGCGTACCTATGAGCAGTGCCTTCCGGACTACAATTGCTATTGGGACGGTGCTATGTGTCTACAGGTCGACAGCCTCCACCTAGTGTTTACCACGTTCCAAACTCTGGTCCGAGGCAGGAAAGCAGCGGATGGTTTCAGTGGATTATGTCGTTAGTCCTTGTTTTGGGTTGCTTGAAATACCGTTCTTTGCAGCCTCTCTGGAAAAACATCTTGAAAGTGTACACTGAGTCAACCAAGCTGAATGTGCCCGTAGCCGCCTCTCCGCCTGAAGTTGCGCCTGTGCAGACAGCAATGCCAACAACCGTTTCAGTTGATGAGCTGTCAGACTCCGCCGCCCCCCCCTTCCGCTCCTACCACTTCTGCAGATGTAAACGGTGGCTTATGGATCGAGTCCCCTACGGGTTCCACTATTAAACATTGCATGGGGGTAAATATAGCTGGCACGGTCTGCGAAATCCCTGGGGATCGACTACTGCTTTTCAGGGGAAAGAGGTACCTTCATTGTACTGAGCCGTGGGTTGGTAGGCGGGTGGTTTTAGTTGCCTACACCTTGATGGGTACCATGTCGATCCCCAGGGATATTGAAGAGAGGCTGCAAGCCATAGGAATTCAAACGCCGGAGAGTATCGAAGTAGAGTATTACTCCAACCACCCAGTAGGGCGTGGACAACCTGTCCAAAGTAGGCTTCGCTTTCGCAATAGAGCTGGCGTCTGGCAGGCTGGGCGTCTCAACCTTTTCCGACATGCACCGACGATTGATATCGATAGTCAAGGGGATAGTTATGTTGGATCTGGCTTTCACACCCAATTGGATGTTTCTGATTCCCCTATCATCCCTCCTGATTCGGTGCATGCCAGTGACTCGGAAGAGACCCTACTGCTTCCTAGGTTCACCGAAGGCGAGGTTTAGTGCACCAGTGCACGCCTGTCACCCTCGCTTGCAAATTCCTGAACACAGACATCACCCAAAACAGTTGTAACTACCCCTCCTTCTCTGTAATTCAAACCACTAACCTGCGCCCACGCGCCATGGCAAGTCGAATTCTGCTCTGCATGGACAGTGGCTATTGTGCGGCCGCCAAACATAGCTGAATTGGCCATGGAATGCTGGGATGACCCACTGCCAGGCAAGATGCATAGTGCAGCGATAGTGCAGCGGGATGACTGTGATGAAATGGCCCACCAAAGACTGAAACAAGCAGAGTACGATGCTTGGACCAGGGTCCACTCACATGTGCAAGGCTGCATGACTGCATGGCTGCCTTTTATGGCAAGAATCGCACCACGATATGAATTCACTATGGACCTCTGTTTCTTGGTCATGCTTACAGCTGGGACGGAGGAAGGTGAACTGGCCCTGAACAGTCTCGCAGTGGGTGGACAACAGGGAGGAGGATGGCAACCACTCAGGTTGCACGACAGATGACAGATACTCTGCATGTGCATGTACTGCATGAAGCCCGAGCACATCTTGAACTGAGCAGTGCAAGTGCATGAAGATAATTCGATGCGTGTCCCTAGTTGCAAATGCATGATGTACATGAAAGCCTGTCTTGTTTCACCATGCCCCGTAGTCCACCAATTTTCACCCCACGAACATAGTCGCATGAACTGACAGTTTGAAATGTATGCACATAATTAGGCAAGGCTAAATAGCTTTGCCTACGGTCGGTAAACAGCTGACTTAAGTGATCCTCCTAGGGACGAGCCTGAAAGTATTGTGATGTATTACTGTTTCTGTCCTGTATGTGAATCATTATCTGGCTTGTCCATGTGAGTGATTCGCGATTCTGTGCTTGGGGTCCTCATGTTGTATACTGTGCTTGAATCTGCGCAGGACCCTAGGCGGAGGATGGGTCCCGTTGGGATACAGTCATTTCAGCTTCTGTTTAGAGTCGTTGGTTCACGCCATGACACCTCCTCTTAGTGCAGTCTCACTTGGTATGACTCCGAACCTATATGCCTCGCCTGATTTGTCCGAGTGTGAGCGCCGAAAAACACCAAACCCTTGCTAGGTAGGAGGGAAAAAAACCCTAAACCACAAAAACCAAAAAACAATTAAAAACCCTAAACCCGAAAACCCTTAAACCCTATAAACCCAAAGCCAGTACCCAGGCTTTCCTTTTCCTTTGGGTCTTAAACACCCGAAACCCTAAACTTTTCAACCCCAAGCCCTAAAATCCCTTAAAACTCAGAACCCTGCACCTAAACCCTAAAGCACCAAAAACGCTAAGAACCCTAAAAACCCTAAGAGCCCAGGCTTTCCTGTTCCTTTGGGTCGCCTCCTTGGACTCCGCTTCGGCCTTTGGGCTGCAGGGCCATCACCTCCTGGAGCTCCACAGGAGCGCCGATGCTTGGGATTTGGGGTTTAGTAGGGCTGAGGGTTTAGTAGGGTTTAGGGTTTAGGGGCTTAAGGTTCAGGGTTTAGTAGGGTTTAGGGTTTAGTAGGGTTTAGGGTTTAGTAGGGTTTAGGGTTTAGGGGTTTAAGGTTTAGGGTTTAGTAGGGTTTAGGGTTTAGTAGGGTTTAGGGTTTAGGGGTTTAAGGTTTAGGGTTTAGTAGGTTTTTTAGGGGTTTTTGGGTTTAGGGTTTTTAGGGTTTAGGGGTTTAGGGGTAGGGTTTAGTAGGGGTAAGGTTTAAGTAGGGTTTGGGGTTTAAGGTTTAGGGTTTAGTAGGGTTTAGGGTTTGGGGTGTTAAGGTTTAAGGCTTAGGGTTTGGGGTTTAAGTTTTAGGGCTTAGGGTTTAGGGTTTAAGGTTTAGGGCTTAGGATTTGGGGTTTAGGGCTTAGGATTTGGGGTTTAAGGTTTAGGTTAAGGGTTTGGGGTCTAGTAGGGTTTAAGGTTTGGTAGGGTTTAGGGGTTGGGGGTTCAGGATTGACGGTTTACGGGGGTACCGAATGCCTGGGAGAGACAGAGAGAGAGAGAGAGAGAGGGAGAGGGTTTAGGGTTTAGTATGGTTTAGGGTTTAGGGTGAGCTGCTGCGAACCCTGTTTACAGGCTCATGGGATTTAGCAAGTAAGGTTACAAGTAGGTTATAGTTAGGATATCCCCATTTAGGGGACTTATAACCTGCTGACTCAGTCCCATGATCCTCTAAGTGGCGGGCTGGCAGAAACCATCCTACATTCCCCCCCAAATCTGCTGGGCTAGAGGGTCCTGAACCTTTCCCTCCTACTTTTTAGGGTCCTAAAACTTTAGGGATTGGGGTTTGGTCCTAGCCTTTTGGCGTTCAGGGTTTAGGATCTATTCCAGCAACAATAATCATCATCGAAACATAGCACTAGATCAGTCTAGCAGTCGCAGCAGGGCTAGTGGTGAAGTGAACATTTGAGTGTGGGATCGATGGCTTGGGGCATAGTGGCCGATCTGAATAGTTGGCAAAAGTATTTCCTTGTAGCACCCCGTAAAATTATAGCCGAACAAATCCCATGCTCGGTAGATAGCTATGAAAGCTTCTCCGATTGTAGCTTTGCAGAGCGAGCTGTTGCCGCTCAGTGTTTCAATCTCTCGGCTTCACCGCTAAGGGTATCACTTAGTGGTGTTCACGTTTTGGGTTCTTGTAAGTTCGTCCTATTCTGAAACTATTATGCCTTCAACCCTTGGGCATTGGGAGGTGCGATCAAGAAGCGGCGTGTTCGGACTCGGCAGTTGTTTTTCGATCTCTGCCGCAGTCGAGGCTGAAGCCATCCCTAAACATGAAACCGAGTCGAACCCCGAAACCCGACATACTAAACCCTATACACCCCAAATACCCCGAACCATGTATGCAGGTCATTGCATCCGGACGCCCTACAGCTTTCGTCCGGCGAAGCGCCTTTAGTCTTCCATCCCAAAGCTCCCTCCCGGTCCTGCAAGTTATGCATATGTATATATATATATGTATGTATGTATGCTCATGGATATATATATATATATATACATATGTGTGTATATGAATTATCTAAGTCTATATCTATGTATACACATTATATACACGATAGGACCTTCATAATTGGAACAGTATTCCTCAAGGTTCCTTACTGGAATTTTAGCGCAATACACCCGCAAGCCCTATCCAGATTATCGGAAAAGCCCTGAAGGCGAAGTGGGCACCCGTTACCTCCTGTGCTGGCCACTGCCTCAAGGGGCTCGTGGGACTTGGGGTTCGTTGTTGTCTTTGCTGCTAACTACAATCTACATAAACAGAATTACAACGAATAAACGGTCATAGTCGTCTGTATGGGTGTGCGTGTATATCTATATATATATATATATATATATATATATAATTATATATATATATATATACACATACGGATATGTGATATGCTGTTCTTCTACTTCAAACATCCACATACAAACTGATTATCCACGTGACCTCACAGGTCCTCACCAAGTGGGATCGCCTGAAGGCGCTCCCGGAGTTCCAGGAGGACCCTGCGGCCCTGGCAAGTCTTCCGGCAGGAGATCTAATCTAGCATTGTCAGCATAGAAGTATGTAGTAGTAGTAGTAGTAGTAGTAGTAGTAGTAGTAGTAGTCGTCGTCGTCGTCGTCGTCGTCGTCGTCGTCGTCGTCGTCGTCGTCGTCGTCGTCGTTGTGCTGGTACTCGTAGCAGTAGTAACTAGTAGTAGTCGTCGTAGTAATACTAGTAGTAGTATAGTAGCAGTAGTAGTAGCAGTAGTAGTAGTAGTAGTAGTAGCAGCAGCAGCAGTAGCGGTAGCCGGTAGACGATAGCGCGAGGGGTAGTGGTGGTGGTGGTGGTGGTGGTGGTGGTGGTGGTGGTGGTGGTGGTGGTGGTGGTGGTGGCAGTGGTGGGTGCTGATGGGTGGTGGTGGGCGTGGTCGTGGTGGTGGTGGTGGTGGTGGTGGTGGTGGTGGTAGTGGTAGTGATAGTGTAGTTGAAGCCTAAACGGGCTCCTATATGGCTCCTATGTTCACTATAGTTCGGGTGGAATCCGTTATCACCCCCAAGCTGACGTCTAATGGGCTCCCAGATATAATCAGGATGTAACTACATTCCTTCGGGTTCCAATTAGAGTCTGCATAGTAGTTCCCATATTCTAACTACTCAGGCACTAAGGCCCTCTGTATTATTCGGTCGGTGTGGGGTTTCGGGTTAAGGAGGGTAGCGGGGAGTATAGGGGCCTGAATAATCATCATAGTACATTGAGTACCAAAACCCTATTCTAACTGTTACAGCAGAGGTCAGGCCCGGGAACGCTTGGCGCAGCTCCGGCGCAGCGCGTCTGCCCGAGCTGCCTTCTGCGTCCAGTGTGACACCACTGCTCCTCATCGAAGTTATGTGCAGGTTCGTCATGGTTCGGGCTGAGATGAACCATAGAGTTTATAGAAGCTCTACGGCGAAAAACAAGTTAAAGGCTTTACGGTGTGTTTACGGTGGAGGGTTTAGGGGTTGCGTCCCTGCAGGCTTGTGCATGTTGTGGAGGATGTTTCGGTTTTCCGTAACCTGAGCCTTGAAAAGTCTGGCTGAAGATATCGGGCGCTACAGGGCTGCCTGTGGCCTTGTCTTTTACTCACGGAGTCGTTCTCCTGCGTTGCTCATCTCGAAGCAGTGTCGAGTCTCAGCGTGTGTGTGCGCGTGGTATTTGGAAGTTTCTGGTCACTGATATGAACCAGGAGGCTCGGAAGTACAGGAGAACGAAAGAGTGCCAGATGAGCCGGATGAATACTCTATCAGAAAATAGGTAATTAGTGTTGATAATTGCCGACGGTTTGCATCTTTCCTGAAGGTGATCCGCTGTATGTGTAGCAAGCTTGCCAGTATGCATGGGATGATGCATGATGCAGCCATTTAAGCCTTTACACGAGAGGCAAGTCAAGCGTGGTGGACGCTTCTGGATTGGATGCTGATGCTTGCATTTGCCCAGTCACCACAGCCGCGCATTGCAGACGCGGTGCCAGTGTCCGTGCTGCGGTCTCCACCTCATGCAGAGGCCCCGCTTGGAGCAGGGAAGACGGAGCGGCGCACGCTATTGGCCGGAAGCACATGTGCATTGGCTGTTGCTGCCCAGTGCCGAGAAAGAGTGGCTGGGCTGCACTCATCGAGTCGAGGTATGGCCAAGATAGCTTCCTTTTCTGCTTCTCTTCTGGTGCTTCATAGGGCTTCGTGGTTCGGTTTGAGGTGAAGTGCAAGAGCCGCACGGCTGGGAAAGTCGTCTGCCGGGACCAAGCACTACCACAGAGCAACCTGGATGAACATGGAACACTCTTCAAATAAACTGTGCACATGCTCAGGAGGGGCTTAACACTGTGCAAGTCCCTGGATGTCAGCGCCATGGTATTCTTCATGAAACGAAGTCTGACCATCCGAGCTGTGTGACTGAGGCGACAACGATGTGGGTTTGTTCAGCCAGGGGCGGGCCGTGTTCGACCAGCCCCCGAAGTCGAAATCAGATGCCCTTTGGCAGTATATATACTGGACCGCTTCACAGTGTGAGCAGGGGGTTCACACGATTTGTGTAGGGATCTAACTAGCTAGACAAGCCGTGCGCAGACCGACACCAGAGCAAGGAGGTCCAAGAGAAAGAGCCTGCGGCCTTGTCTGTCAGAGGGACAGAACAAGCACCCCAAACATCAGCGTATTGGGGTTTTCGGGCTCTGGGCCCCAAAAAAACCCTCATAATCATAATCGTATGAAGGATAGTAGCGACAATTAATTAATTAATTAATTGATTGATTAATTAATTAATTAATAGTAGTAATATCAATGCTAGCAATAAGCAATACCAGTAGTAACTGCAGTGTAAGACCCTTTGTAAGGCCTAGGCCTAGACCTTGAAACTTCAACCATGGTTTGGCTCTAGCCGGATTCGATTTCGCAAGGTGCAGCCCGCTATGCAGCATCCATCCGGCAGAAGGTTGAAGGTGACGACCCGGAGAGGGGAGCGGTCGGGGTGGACCAATTTTCACTGCAAGTTTCGGGATCAAAGAAAGCTGCTTATCTCGTCAATGAAAGGCTTGCGCTAGATTCAAGCCTGGAGCCTGGCGGCACTGCCACAGGTCATCGTCTTGGGCAGCGGATGGGGGGCAGCATCGCATCTCGCATGGACCGATGATAGGAGGAGTTGAGAGCCCTGCGTTTGCTTGCCAGGTCGTGGAATTGTCTTGTGACCCTCTCTACCTAAGTGTCGACCCCTGGCCCCCAAAGTAGTCGGTCTCCTTGAGCATGGGCGTGTTGGAGATTGGCTGCCAGATTCATTCAGTATATCCACTGTACTGCTTTCTACTTCGACGGTGCAGATCATATCTACGACTTCGCGAAACTATGCCAAGAGTCAGAGTAGTGCCTGGGCAAGTGTCAACAACAAGATTCCAGCACATGACAAGGATCCACACGACATCCAAGAGTAAAACCAGCAACAGCAGCATCAGTTCAGCTTCGTGGTATGCTTCCTCGCCGGATGAGATCTCCCAGGTTCTTGAACGCCTTGAGCCAGCAGGAGGACGGACTCACGAAACCTAGGAGTCCAGTTCATGAAGACTTGGTCGGTTTGGCGGCTTGAGGTGTTCTACTCTTGAGATTCGAATTCGGGCCTGCAGTCTACAGAACATAGGCATGGAGGATTGCAGTTCAGTTCGAGCTTGAGACTTCTGCTGCCAGAAGCCAGGCGCAAATGTACGACATCACGGTCGTGTCCATGCGGAACTTCTTTCTGCGCCCCGGCCGTCAAAAGCTGGCCCTTCCCAACTCCTACAGGGTCAGGTGCAAGGATGAATCTTGTGTGGTAGTTCAAGTTCCAGTGAAGAAAGTTGAAAATTTGGGGTTCACACTGTCAGACCATGGAGTTCACACAAACGAACATGTATAATCTAACATGTATGTACATGTATGTATTCTTATACGTATAATGTGTGCAAATTTAAGTTTGGCAAGGTACACGCCACTGCTGCCCACCTGCACGATGGGATCCATCGAAGAGCGTTCCATCGTGACTCCCATCCGTGAGATGGCCTATGGAAGCTTGACAGACAGAGGTTTGCCGTTGAGGGCTCGAGGTCTTGATGGGCTGTGCTGGAAGGGCAACCAGGGCTCAGGGGGGTTGTGAGAAAGGGGCTTCATAGGGAGTTGGATAGCCGTGTCTCACATCATCCCGTCAAGTTCTCTTGTCAGTCTTCATTCAGTGAATCTGTGTAAAGCCCCATGCATGCACGTACATACATACGTACATATAATTACATGATTGCACAGCTGCCCGTACGTACGTATAGGCGTTTCTAGTGTTTGGTCATGGTTGCAAATGCTAGCACCGCAGAGTCCCGACATGCAGCCTTCTGACTCTAAAGCTACCTGATTGGGCGCCAACGTGAGACAAAGCATAAACCCATGCAGAACCCTTTTATCGAGCTCTTGTGGAGCCCTCCCCAATACAACCCTGAACGACCGCTGATAAATCCCTGAACGGGTTCTACAAGAGAACCCTTAACTACATGCCAGTCTTACTGAACCCTTATCAAAACCCCAAAAGACATATACAGTATCTTACGGCATCCTTTCTCAAGCCTTATAAACCCCAAACCCGCTCTCCTTGACGAGGCAAAGCCGACTTTCTAGAGGCGCGTTGTGAAGCCATTGACCCAGAGAGCAAGAAGACGCTAGGCTGCAGGCTCAGAACAAGTCGGGGATTAAGATTTAGAGATCGGGAGGCTTCGGATTTTCTTCGGGGGTGTAGGCTTCAGGGTTGAATTATTCAAGGCTTTGGAGAAACTTGTGGAAGGAGGCACGAGAGGCAGTCGGTAGGTAGGTGAGTGGTAGGGTGGGTGGGTAGGTGGATAGGTGAGTAGGGTCGGTCGGCCCGTCTTTCTGTAAATTACGCAAGTCATGCATGCATCACGCGTTGCCTGGCGCTGCTAGACCCTCTGGATGCAACGGCACAGAATCAGAGAGAGAGAGAGATGCATGCATGTACAGTATATATATATATAATATAAAAGATAAAATGTATATATATATATATATATATGTATAATATATATATATATATATATATATATATATATAGATAGATAGATATATATATATATATATATACATACATACATACTTATATTCACATACAGATATAGACATCCATTTTCGCAAACCTTCGGGTTCGTGCCAAGCCTCGCTTGCGAGATCCAGGATTCGATGCAGCCGTGCAATACGCTCCAAGGCCTGGGAAAGCCGGAAGACTTACCTTTGGTTAGTAGAGAGTGGAAGAATGGGGCCTATAAGGGATCTATAAGGGTACTATAATATAGGTGCCGCCTAATAATCCTATAATCTTACCTTTGGTTAGTATTCTAAAGGGGTCTATAAGGGCTACTATAGCTACCACAAGGGTCAGCTTTGGTTAGTCGGGAATTCGACTAGGGTTCCTTTAAAGGGGTCTATAAGGGCTACTATAACTACCATAAGGGTTAGTTTCGGTTAGTAAGGAATGGAAGAATGGTAGTAATAGTAGTTACATTTGAACCCCAGTCCTCCATTCCCTACTAAGCAAAGGTAAGAAGAGTCGCGGGTGTGCGTTTCGGAACAGGCGTTGTCGATTGCCTGTAGCATATACAACAAGACCTCTACATGGTAAGTATACAGCGCATGTTATGATAGCGATCTATAATCAAGAGTAGGGCTTCCTGTTATCGTAACTTTAACAAAGATCCTTGCTTATATAGAGCCCAGGAAGGGCACACACACACACACGTCGACGGGTCTACGAGCCGAGCGTTGCATCGGCTGGGAAAGCCCCACCTGCACAGAATTGTTGCTCAGTGTACTGTGCCCTTTCCATGTTGGTACCTTTTGCAGATACAAAATCTAAAGTCTCAGACAAGAGTGATTCTCCGATCGATTTGCACGGGCCGCCCTCTTGATATGCTCGCTTTCTGGTGTCGCCCTCGCACGCGCATCAAAGTGTTTTGCTGTCTGTGGTGGTAGCTTTTTTCGTCGAGAGCCAGAGCCGATAGCCAAACAAAAGTTGAACGAGGAGGAATTTAAAGCCGCCGAGTCCAGCACCACAAAACACTGATTACCCGCAGTGAACACTGGGTTCTTGTTTCCTTGTTATGGTAACTTAAATTACAGCCTTAAACCATAAACCAGAACCCAGAACAGTGACAACTTACCATCTTCAGTTGTGTGCACAGTGCAGAGGTCAGCTCCAGCTCCGACTACCACAGGTTCCCCGAGAAGCAGGCGGGACATGGAAAAGCTTGCTGTTCAGGGTTTAGGGGTTCAGGGTTTAGGGTTAGGGGTTCCCCCAGGTGTAAAAGGGTTTTAGGGGTTCGGGAGTTTACGGTTTAGGGGTTTAGGGTTCCTCAGTCGCACAATAGGCCTGGATGCAAAAGGGTTTAGGAACTCATCCGGCCTTGTTGCTCAGACCTCAGAGTTAGCACACAATATGTCAGATCCCGTGCTCACCTTTCTCCACTCCGCTGGGCACAGCAGAAGACAGAAACGGCGGTAGATGTGGTGTTCTCGATGGTCTTTGTTACGATACATTGCTGTTTCTTTGCATATGCGCTTCCAGGCGCGCAAGTATACAGTTCAGAGGCTGTCATAGCGTCATCGGAGTTCTGCGACTAGCATCAGCAAACGTGCCGGCCTGCCCTCAGAGACCCATGCGCAGACACTGTCAGACTGTCAGACACTTCTGTTTTGAATTGCATTCGCTTCGTGGAGTCTAGCTTAGGGTCTAGAGCGCGCAGCCATGTTTTGGACCTGCAGGGGATACAGTAGCTATCAGTCTGTATAATCTCAGTGGAAAAACGCGACTCGCCCGTAAATCCCAATCTTGAGATTTTGGCGGGGCCTGCTTGTTCCAAGTCGCGGCCGCACTGTGCAGCAATACAGCACCATGCCAAAATCAGCTCTACTAGTCCCATAGAGATCTATTCTGTCTGGTTCTATTCCTATAGGGTTCCGCCAACAGAGAATTGAAGAAGCTCTATTTTCACTCTCTTTTCCGGAAGGCCGAGCAAAGGCATGTCTTTGAGCTAGACTACGACATGCTGGTCTATGCAGTGGGCGCCGAAACTGCCGACTTCAACATCCCAGGAGTTCGACAGCACACATTCTTCTTCAAGGCCTGGGCGGCCTGATATAGGAGTCTTAATGTCTAGTCATATCTATATAGTTTCATGTTGGCTTCGATGATCTCCGAACGTGTGGGTAGTTGTTCAGGCTGGTACATTGAATGTGTCAGGGTACGTCTAGCATAGCAGTGAGGAAGAACATTTCGGGATTCAGAAGGTTGCCGTGATTTCCGAAGAACACGACATCACGTGCCTGAACAACTCTGAACCGGGCTATGCATCATTCAAAAGTAAGGATTCTCCCAAGGTGTGTGGTACTGTTGCGGTTGCCCGTATAATTTCTATGCTGCACCGAGGAGCTCCGAGACGCAAGAAACGTCCGCTCCCGCATCTCCGATCTCTTTGAGGAGGCTTCGCTTCCATCGATCTCCGAAGAGGATGGGTCCCCAAAGCCGGCCGGAAACCCGAAACCCTCCAGCTCTCAACCCGAAGATGTAAAGAGTGCTTCAGGGCACAGGCATTTGTTGCAGTGTTGTGTTTCCTTTGGTGTTTTGGCGTTCGGGATGTTTGGTGAGGAGTTACAGGTAGCCCCGAGCGGTGGTTTATGGCACCTTTTCTGGATCATCCGGGGGCTCAGCCTGGCAAGGTACAGTACTATAACCCTATTCTCACTATTCAGGCCCCTATATTGTTAAGATTACTTTGGGATTGGCTTGGGGGGCATCGGGAGCAGTGGCGCCGTGCTTCCGATGTTACGAGAGGGTGTGCTTGCAGGACCGAAAGGCTCTTCTGAACTTCGTCGTCATTGGAGGCAGGGTTTAAAGTTTAGAGGAAGTCATGGTAGTTGAGAGTTTCGTTTCGGTATCTGGCGACATATTGTCTTGGCACATATTAATATATATAATATAGGTCCACGGCCCTTGACGCATGTTCTTCGTTCCAGAAGCTACCAGCTATTGTGTGTAGTGTAGTGCAGTCATGCTTCCGAGATCTCTGCGTCAACATCGATATCTCTATCCGACACCTAGACCCCGCAAGCCCTTAAGTTTTGATGTAGCCACGGCTTCCACACGCCAGGTCTCAAGCTCTAAGCAGCGAGTCTTAGATTCCTGGCCCCGTTCTGGGCTCCATCCGTCGATCGCCCGAGGTGGACCAACAGGTGTTGAGATTGCCGCCGACCTCGCAGACTTCGTAGAAGAGGAGCGTCCTGGTACTCTGTAGTGAGCGCTCGGCCGCGATCAATGTTGCTCTCATACCGTAAGGCTAGGACGGTCCTGAGTGGTGGAACCCGAGCCACAGGCAGCCCGAGAAGCAGCCTTCTTGGGGGAGCTGCAAAACTCCCTACTGTAGCGACTGTAGCGCCTGTCTCGGGGCTTCGGAGTGAATCGCAAATCTACAGGACTGCCGCCGCCTGTACCCCAAGCTGTGTGATCAGGCCTCAACGTGGGACTCTGCTTGGTGTGTGCGCTTTTCCGGGCTTGCGGGAAGATAACCCCGCAGTCATTCTAATGTTGTAATCTGGAAGGAATTGAAAGTAGAAGCAGAAAGGAGCAGCTGCTAACAAACAACCAAGAGGGAGTAGTAGGCAAAGCAAGAGCATCTTGAGACAAGTCCATGAATGATGTTGGTCGGTGCAAAAGCCAGTCTAGTCCGGGCCGTGACACGAACAGGTTGACCTGGTCCAGGGTCGGGATGGTTTGCTGCCCTGAGGTTTCTATCTCTTTGGTGAACATGGAGGACCATCTGCTCTCCACTTACAGCCGCGATATTTCGAACAAGAGCCATGTTCTCAGTGACCTCATGGTTTGACGTTTTGAGTTGCACATGATGAAGTGGAAGCTTGAGGCTTGGAGATCTTTGAGCAGAAGGGCGTGGAGGTTCTCAACGGCTGGAGGGTCACTGAGGTCACAGCTGACAAAGTGTCCCGGCACGATCTGATTCATTCCACATTGGATGAACCACCAAGCAGCCTGCTTCGACGTGTGGTTGGCCCTAAACTCGACCTAATCATGCTTATAAGTCATTATAAGTCTCAGCTCTCAATCTCACAAGAGCAGGTGAAGATGACAGACCGGCATGCCAATCTGAAGGAATTACCCCACGGCTGCGTGCTGCTGGGCTTCGAACTACATCAGCATGGCAAGAGTATATGAGGATTTAGCCACATGTACGACACATAGTTCCACAACATTGAAGAAGTCTCTCAGTCATGTTCTGTCACATTCGTTTGATACATGGACCATGCTGGAGCTGTTCATGTGTGCTGCCTGCATGCTTGAGTTCAAGCTAGACAGTGCGAGCCTTGCTAAGAGCTCATACTGAGACCTCGTGAGGTGTGCAGCAACCCTCGTTGCAGGATTGTCTGAGCGGGGTGCCCGAATTTAAAGCAAAGGCAAGATGCGGAAGTTTCAAACTCCGACAAGTGCTCAACCTTGCCTCGCTTCCCGCGTGCTAAACAGATCTGATCTAAACGGTTTCCCGGACCTGTCGAGCCCGAGGATCTGGGCAGCGGGTGTGAAGCCCAACAAGCTCACTGGCCAGGCAGCCAGACTCAGGTTTGATGGTTTACGGGAAAGAGAGGGGCTCAAGAATGATTCAAAGGGGCGGGAGGTGTTCAGGTGCGGTTGGCTTGGTGGTCACGACTCGCGTTTCGTAGATTGAAAGACCTTGCGGTCCAATGAGGATGTAAGGTTTTAGTGTTAGGAGTACCCGCTATAGTTTGGCACACGCCACACAGTATAGCCCCGAGAAAGAAGGTAAGCTTGGAGGAAGCGGGAGCCTCAAGACTTAGTGGGTCCTTGAAGGCAGAAAACAGGGAGGTCACGATGCTAAAATCACATCCTCATGCAGGGGTAGTGGTCAGCCCTATTCCTTGCAAGTTCATCTACTAGAATATCATATTGTAGTAAAATACAGTCTGATGATGCCTTAAGTTATACATATCTGTGTGTACGTATTTTATGTGTCGCATGGTACATGTTGGTATAGTACAATACAGTACTGTGTGTCACAGTATATTCGATACAGTCAGAAGCAGACCTTCAGTTCGATAGCCCTGACCCAGCAGCGAGACAGGGGCGGGCAAAGTATCCCCAAAGAGGCCCCAGGGCCGGGGTGAGTTGGGGCCTGGGGTTGGGATACCTTGAACTACCATAGTATTTTAGTTAATTTAAAAACCCTACTGTTTTGTACTGTAGCCCATTCTGATACACTCGGTGTTCAAACTTGTAGGAGCCCTACAAAATTGTTGGTCTTTGTAGTTTGGTATGGTGGTTCAAGGTAGGGCAAAAAGCGTGAACCGTTAACGGCTCCTTCGTTATGAGCGCACATCTGCAGAGAGTTGCAGCTGCTTCGTCCACTATGAGGTCAAAGCTTCCCTGTGCGAAGTTCTGAGAGGACGTGGGGTCAGATTCTGTTGAAGAGCTTCAGATTGCGCAGGTTCCAGGCGATGTGCTTGCTAAGCCGCTTTGCTGTTGCTGCATAGTGTTTTGATCAGAAGCAGGTTTCTGCTAGTTCAACAGTCTGCCCCTATACAGTAAGCCCTAATATGCCTTAAAATTGCGTCGTGGAGTGAGAGGACGGCAAGATGACAAGGCGAACTATGTCCAGAGTCGAGTGAGAGGCTTGGCCACTGATGTGCCTTGGCTGGAAGAGAGCACGCGAGCAACACCGTGTGACTGCTAGTCTTCTAAACCTTAAGCCCTATACACCCTCCTCTGCTCCAGGAGTGGCTGCACGTTTGGGGCAGCCTGGGCTCAATTTTTGCGCTGGGCGCCCTCCGACTGAAATGTGAAAGTAATTGTTTTCCGCCAAACGTGGATGTAGGTCGTCGGGTCCGTTATTGTCGTGCGTTTGTACTGTAGCAGTGGCGGTCATCCTCGGCATCTCCGTGCAGTCGTAGAAGTACTTGTCTTACTAGTCGGGCTAGTCGCAGTCATCAAACCAGTGGTAGTAATCGTATAAGTCATTTAGTAGAGGTCGTAGTCGTAGTCGGCATACTCGTAGCAGCAGCAGCAGCAGGAGCAGCAGGAGTAGTAGTAGTAGTAGTAGTAGTAGTAGTAGTAGTAGTAGTAGTAGTAGTAGTAGTAGTAGTAGTAGTAGAAGGAGTAGCAGTAGGAGCAGCAGCAGCAGCAGTAGCACAGTGGCAGTGTACTATAGTGGTACAACAGTGCCAATCGTACTGCTAGTAATACAAGTAGTAGCATAGTAGTACTTGGCAGTCGTGGTCATGTTGGTGATGGTGGTGTTGGCGGCAGTTGTAGTAGTAGTCGTCGTCGCGTAGCAGTGAGTCATAAGCTTCATAAGCCATGGTAGTTGCCGTAAACTAGCAGTAGCAGCAGCCGCGGTCGTAGCCGCAGCAGGACGCAGTAGCTAGAACAGTCGTCGTCGTTGAGGGAGTTGCGAAATAAGTTGTGTTTGGTTTTCAGCCGTACTTGTAGAATGCCGTAGAGAGATTCAAGGCCAGCTAGCTTCGAGGTTTGACGTTTCTGATGCGAACGTCAGGGTTTCAACGGGCCCAGCGAGAATGGCAAAGTTATTGTAGCAACACCACCCAATTGCTTGGACAACCAATATGGTCGAACTGTGGCATTTGTTTGTCTGTGTCTGTGGCAAGATGGCAAAACCGCGAGCCTGGAATAATCGTGGTAACTTTTTGTTGCAGGATGCCAGTTCAGTGCAACAAGACTGCGCTTGCCTTTATGCAGAGGAGTTGTTCAAGGCCCGACACAAGCCTCAGTCAGCTCTTGGCTGTTTGATCGGCTTGCGATACCCCCGCCCTCCCCCAGTGGCTCACCGTGCCGATTCTTCACGAGCTTAAGCATTGTGGTAAGTCACTGAAACCTCTGACTTGTCGAGTGCGAGTGTTTCAAAAGTCACTTCTTGCTACTTGAAGCACGCACATCAGCCCGTGATGTAAGTCCGATCTGCAACACTGTGCGAGCAACGTAAACTAAAGACCTGAAAACTACAGACCCTGCAACCGTATGCGCACCCAAGCAAGCCGAGAAAAAAATCTCGGCCCAATGATATGACCCCCGTTTGACGAGTTTGCACAAGGCTTTCCAGATTGCAGGTCCCTGGGTGCAAGAACACCTTCACGTAGACGGGGTCACCATTCACGGATGCACCATCTAAGGTTCAAGCGTTTGGTTCAGGAGTTTAGTTCAGGCAAGGCTTTGGACGTGATAAACCCCAGACCGAAGAAGTTGCGCTGATCAGTGCGTTTGAGTGGAATTGTAGAGACCTGCCATGACCTGCCTGGGTGCTACGGTTGATGATATAAATCCTGCATTACATATAATAAGGAATATATGGGAATTATGGTATATTCCTTAGTATGGGTCACGCAGGATGTATATCATCAACAGTAGCTGCTAGCAGTGATTGGCCTGGACCCCGAGGGCACACCGCAGTGGGGGGGTGGATAGTTTGGTGGTAGGTGGTCATCCCGCTGGCATAAAAGAGACATTGCACTCTGACAAGTAAAGACTGTGCTTCATAGCCATTTCGTCTAAGCATTTGTTAGTTAGTTAGCTGTTTAGGCTTTGCTGCTAGCCATGATTCAAATCCCACCACCAACCGAGAGACCTTACCTTGCTGGTTTGAGTTGTGAGAGTGTTAACCCTAAACCGACAGGAGGCCGACGTGAACAATGAGGGAAAGCTGTCTGTTGAAGCCTTGAGAGATCTCCTGCGAGCGAATGCTACGCGAGCCTCGATCGCAAATGCTAAAATAAATGGTAAACAGGTGCTCCATGTTGTCATTTCTTGTTGAGGGGAGAGACGGGGGGTTTCGAGCCGCATCTTGCTGAGGTTGTAGGTTCAGGGCTCAGACCTTTCGTGTTACCGATAAGAGTTAATCTCCAAGTGCTGCATCGCTACGACTCAGAACTTAAAATGCTCACTTTCGGGTTTGATGGAAAGCCACCCCAGTATTTCTTCAGTATGTTCAGTAATGGCATTTCTTGCAGTCCGATGGGTAGCGCTTCGAAAGAGACGGTTCGAACAAGCGCAGTTTCTGCTTCTAGGCCTCCGGCGCAGTAAGTTCATGTAAATTCGGCCGGCATGGCCCTAATGTAGGGGCTTTAATGATTTCCTATACTGGTTTCGGGGTTCCTTATTGTAATTATAGCAGAATGGGCTTCAAAACCCTGTTCTAATTATTAAGGCCCCTCCAGTACATGGGTCAGCCAGAATCCAGAAGACCTAGAGCCATGAACGGCTAGATCCCTACGGCCAACCTGCCTTTTCAGGACCAAAACAAGAAACGGGCTGAAACCCGAAGCCGACCCTCCTTGCCGCACCTTCCGGCAAAGAACTGCCAAAGGAAAGCGGCAAGCAGTTCTGGGTTTCTAAAATATTCCACGGTTTAGGGTTGAGGGCTTAAGGAATCTTTAAGGATCTTGGAGTTGTAGCCACGTGGTCGTTGCATCCTGAAACTTGGGATGACCAGTTGATCAGTTTTTGCAATCTGGGGTAGCCGTGTGGCACGAGCCCACAGCACAGTCGGCGCCTCAGTTCCTGGCATATGCGTAGTCCGGGTGTAAAAGGGCTTAAGGATTGGATTGTGCTCTGAAAGATTTGGAGGAGGTCTGCGCAGAAGCCAGGGACGTCGCGACTGATCCCAGAGTCAGACCATCATAACAATTTCATAAAAGCTCTTAAAACCTAAGCCCGTTTAAACTTTGAACCCCCGAGCCGAAACCCTAGACCGTGACTCTAAATCTTTCGACGACTCTTCGTTGTGGTGAAACCTTGCCTGCCTTTTGCGTGTTCTGTGAGTCAAGCAAAGCCTTAAGCCCCCGCAAGCTTGACCCATACTACTACTACTACTACTACTACTGCTACTACTACTACTACTACTACTACTACTACTACTACTACTGCTACTGCTACTGCTACTGCTACTGCTACTGCTACTGCTACTACTACTACTACTACCACTACCACTACCACTACTACTATTACTACTACTACTACTACTACTACTACTACTACTACTACTACTACTACTACTACTACTACTACTACTACTACTACTGACTACTACTACTACTGACTACCATTGAAGGGGAGACCTGCGTCCAATCAAAGGCCACCCGCAGTTCGAGGCCTATGCCGACTACTTGGAGGAGGCACTCTTTGGTTAGGGAGTTTCGAGTGTCGGGTTTGGGTGTGTGCGCACACACACATGTACACATACAGACATAGAAATACATATATATATATACATATATATATATATATATACATATATATATATATATATGAGCTCTGAGCTAGAAGCAAGCATCAGCTCGCAAATTGGCAGGCAGTCAGCGACGACTTGACGGAAACCTTTGCAGAGATCACGAAGATGTTTGGGAAAAAGGTTTGGAAAGAACAGGCAGGACGGCAAACATCCGATGGCAGTCGTTTAAGGGATTGCTAAATTCAGTTTCGCACTCGTGAGTCCCAGCCGAACAAAATGGGCTCTGAGCAGTCGGTCTACCTGGTGGCAATGCCCCATGCAAGCCGTGAAGCAGATCGCCGTTTATACTTAGGACAAGCGGTGCTGACCAAAGGAATTGATGCAAACTTTGTACGGACCTGCGGCCACAACACGGGCACCTAGCATTCGGAGTAGTTGTTTTGGTCTCCTTACAACGGCTTTGAGGTTTGTGCTTGGCTTCTTGATAGTCCCCCAATTTCTGAAACTGCCATGTATTGTTTCAATGGTGGAAAACTCAGTCGGGAAATATTTAGAAGTATTGAAACATTGGAGATACCCCGGGTATCCCAGAGTCAGACGATTGTTGAGATGCCGCAGACCTGGAAAGCTTGGTTGAAGTTTCAGCATCAATTGTTGAGTGGGGCTGCAGGCTTCATTAGGGTTACGTCTGGTTCGCCGATACTTGAACTCTATGATGATTACCCATGATCCTTCAAGCGGAGGTGGCGTGGCAGCGCAGGTACTCCTTGGGACAGCGGGTAACGGAGCGAATCAAGAAGCGCAATGCGCAGGTGCTTCAGCCGTTTTTGGTGGGTTTGTGTGTCGTGGGCTTAGCCTTTACCTTGATCAATCGTAGAAGGGTTACGAGGCTAAAACTCGCAAGACGTTGCATGAGCAGTCACCAGAACTTTGCCACTACCCATAGACGTTTCCTGTTTCGGCAGATCCATCTTCATCTTTCCGTCATGCCGATCATTACAAGGTAGTTTGTTCGGACAAATCTCAACTTTCCCGGTCAGCTGTATGGTTGAAAGTTCAAGAGTTCTATTGTTAGGGCTCCTCAAACTGTTGGTGTGCCGTTTGTGTCAGGTGCCGGCCAGGTTTGCCCTTGTATTGTTTAGCAATGGCCGTTTCTGTAGCAGCAGCGTATTTTCGGTAATTACAGCGGCTGTCGTCGTGTTGCTGCCCTGCTGCTCTTGTTGTGCGAGCCTTTTGAATTTACGTGGCCTTGAATGACTCCGTCACCCTGCTCCCTTGGCTCAGAGGCTGCTTGTGTAGACATCCGGCCATGCTTGAAGGCACGCTACCTGGTAGCGTAGGCTGCGCCAGCCCGAAGGCGCCAAAGGCGCAAGAGAACGGGCGTGCAGATGCACTTCTTGCAGATGCTGCCAGCACGTGCTCTTCTCCTGAGAGCTCTCCCTTGACTGACATCAGCTCAGCAAGTTCGGGAAGTTCGGGAAGCTTGGAGAACAAGGAACGGTCCCAGTCACGCACAAGCCAGTCCTCAAAGCGACAGGGAATGCGGCAGCACCGGCAGCAGAAGCTTCGAAAGTTCTTGTCGGAGCATCACTTTGTGGACGTGTCGGAGCCTAGGCTGTCTACTCGCTGCTGCCTTTTCCATGATGCTGTCTATCCCATCCATATCGCTGCGCAGCTTGGGGATGCTGACATTGTTCACATGCTGCTTGCCGCAGGGGCAGACCCAAATCAGAGGACTTCGCATGGGGTTCTTGCAGTAGATCTCGCCTCAGAGAAAGATCAGGATGGGTCGCACTGTGAAGTTATAGAACTGTTACGCGGCCAGCTGAAAGTACTGGGACTTCGAGATGCAGTTTTACTAATGAGTGGCCAGTCCCAGCTCGGAAGCAATGAGTGCAACGAGCACGACAGCAGCGCGTCCTCCAGGATCGCGAGATGCTGCCGAAGCTTGCGATGGTTCTCGTAGTATGTAGGTTTGTAGAATCGGATTGCTGGGTGTAGCCCTGTGCCTTTCTTAATCTCTCATTTCTGCGACTGAGACATTGTCGCATGCGTCTGCAGGGAAGCCTATCTAGCTTTCCCGCTCATGAAGGGACGTAGCGCCACAACTGTCAGTAGCGAATACGACTATGATGCGGCATTGCGACAATGATCGAGGCGGCTATCTGAGCACCACTCGCAACATGGGGAAACTCGGATATGTCCACAGCTTGTCCAGGAATCGTTGAATCGATCATAAGAGACCGTTGTGTGTGGTGCTCATTTTTTGCAACGTTTTGCCACGGTTGTTCCTCTGCACGTTGGCTCTAAGCCGCGTGTTCATCCCAGGTGAGTTAACGTCTGCGATCTGCAGTGTGGGAACAGAAATCTCTGAGGGGCCGATTCGAGCCGTTCTTTGCACAAGTGCCTGAGGTTGTCTTATGCCTATGATGTCTAAATGTTTTCACAGTGGGTTGCTACTGTTCCATATTTCGGTTGTTGTTGTTGGCATGGTGCTACGTATACTCAGGTGTTAAGATCACGTCCACGACGGTTCATGTCAGGGCTTGATCACTTACAGGAGCCACCTTTTGACAATCACTACCTTGCCGGGTGAGCTTTTGGTCATATATACTCGTAGCTGAAGTGTGACAACAGCATATTAACAGTCATGCACACAAAGCTCCTAGTAGTCATCGTGTAGTAGTAACCAGTGGGTTCATAGTGATTAAGGCTAAGGCTTTCAGCTACAAGCCGAAGCCAGCTTGCACCTCATCTAAAAGCTACAAGCCTGACAAATCAGAAGCTCGACATGGGTTCCTCCAGCTGTTTCAGAAGCTTTCCTGGCTTTGCTCCCTCGGCTTCGTTCCAATACTCGTCGTGACTACCTGAAGCCATTGGCAGTGTTGCCTGGGCCAGGAGATTGAGCGGGATCTTGACGAGGCCGAGGTGTTGCAGAGAGACTACATCACCCTGGAAGGCCTCCTCCGGGTGGTGAACAAAATCCTTCAGTCCTGGGAGTCCTGGGATGTTTTCCGCTTATGTTGTATTTGTCAAGAGTTGTTCCGCCCAACCATGTCAAACTATTGACGACTGGCCCTGACTCGTAAATCGCTTTGTGGACTCACTCGTGGCTCTACAGCGCAAAACGCTTCAAGAGGGCACATGCTAAGAAAATGAAGCCTTCTTGCTTCATGCATCCCTCACCTCAAGGTTCAAGCCGAAACCATCAAATCAAGCGTGGCAGTTTCATGTATCCATGTACCTGTTGATGTTTGAACGAAAACTTACATGTACATCTATATATATATATATATATGTAAATATACATGGGCATCTTGTTACACATGGTTCATGCTACACGCACCACCACGATTGCTCCTGCTCCTGCTGCTGCTCCCACAGCTCGTATTGCACCAACAAGAACTACTACTGCTACTACTACTACTACTACTACTACTACTACTCCTGCTGCTGCCACTACTACTACTACTACTACTACTACTACTACTACTACTACTACTACTACTACTACTACTGCTACTACTACTACTACTACTACTACTACTACTACTACTACTACTACTACTACTACTACTACTACTACTACTACTACTACTACTACTACTACTCCTTCCACGACGACGACGACGACTACTACTACTCCTTCCACGACGACGACGACTACTACGACTACGACGACAGCGGCAACATGTAGGTGCCAAGCGGGCATTTGATAGCGTTCCCGTTTTGTAATATTATCATCACAGACTACTACTACTACTACTCCTCCTCCTCCTCCTCCTCCTGCTGCTGCTGCTGCTGCTGCTGCTGCGACGGCGAAGAGGAGGAGGACAAGGAGGACGGCGATGACAGATAAGGTGTTGTTGAAGCCAACCTTGTACTGCAAGATTCCAATCATAAAAGGAGGGACCCTGCATAAGAACCCCTAGATAACCTTAATTAATATAGCTATACCCTTTCTATAGCCCGTTATTGGGTAGGGATCCCCATCAAGGGTCCCTCCTGTTGCCCTTTGACAGAGCGCTGTGCTTCCTTGCATGTGCTGGCCTTTTCAGGATTCAAAGACCTGTTGAAGATCATCCACAAGACGCTGGAGACGTTTCCCCCAACCGCACAGGTGTCTCGCCGGCACTAAATATGGTCAGTGGACTCCAGCATGTGGACGGGTCTGGTGTGAGGACTGGGGAATTCCATGCATGGTGCTTTGGTAAGTGGTGCAAATGAGGAGCCAGACAAACGAATGATGAAATATCGGTAGCTCGTGCCAAACGCACCCCACAGTCGCACGCAGAAAGTGTCGAGAGTGAAACCCGACGCCCCAAACACCTCCGAGACCCTTCTGCCAAGCCCTGCTTAAGCCCTCAGGGCCCCGAAACCCTGGCCTGAGAAGTGCCCCAAGAAGCCTGGAGGTGGCAGCTCAGCAAGGGCAGTATTTGGCCAAAGCACCTCGGTGGCACCAAGGGCGTCCTTTGGTTTCAGGGTTTAGGCTTGAGGACCTGACCTTATGTAGAGTCGTAGAGTCTGGCAGTCTAGTTTGTCACACTCAGCACGAGTCAGGGAAGCACACTGCGGCATGTTGTGCTGTAGGTGGGGGTCGTGTTGGGTTGGTGGATGCTACCTCCAGACCTGCCTCGACAAAGCTCTAGACTCTAGACTCTAAACGTCCCACATCTTTCTAAGCCTTGCCGAGGTTTTCGCCTCCGGCCTCATTCATGGCGACCGGGAGCCTATCGGGAATTGAGCACGGAGCTTGAATCTAAAGCTGCCCTGATGCCTGCACATTCTGAGCCAGTGCTGAAGGCAATCTACTCCAACATGATGTCAACACGCATCGACGGAAATCCTTGTCCCCGTGCAATGCAGCGGAGATGAGCTACTCCTGGCCTGTTTCCGCAACACCCTACCACCAAGCCTTACTTGTGACAGAGATCTGCCAGAATTCGGAAGTCTGAAGACGCATTATTTCTCAGCGCATAGGTATCCAGCGTGCTTGCTCCCTGCACCTCTATGTAAGCTGCCCCTCTCGATCGCCCTTCCGATGGAGGAGAGCTACCGTGCCTTCCGCGATGAGCACGAGCCCTTTACCTACTTCCACAAAGGTGGTCAAGCCGTCGTTATAGCACCAGGAAAGCCGCAGTAAATTTGCTGATGTCAGCAGTAGCAGTAGGACGGGTCTCAGTATGTAGCTGACACGAGTTTGGGTTTGGAGGTGTCTTGAGAGCGCTTGATGTTGAACTGGTCCGTGGGCAGTTCGTGTGCATCCTCCAAGAGCCGTTCTTCAGCAGCCAACACCGGGAGCATCTCTGGCATTGCCATGTTGGCTGTTTAAACTCGTCGATGCTGGCAGTGCACCCTTCACAGCACTGTTTCGATTGAACCTGTTGTTCAGGCAAAACAAGCCTTTGACGACCTTGCAGCGTACACGACCGAACGCATGGATCAGCCCGGGGTATGTTAGAGTAAGTGTGAACTCAGACCCACAACGCAGATTCTCGTGTCTTGCCTTGAACATGCCACAGTGCACACCACAAAAGCCCCAGCCCTGAACAGTCGACTTAAGCTTCAAGCCGGCGAAGTGTCGGAGGCACTTTGGCCTATTTGGGTAGCGACCATGCGGCTTTCGCGGTCGCCCCAGCTTTCCACTCAAAAAGTGTGGGTCTGAGACTTCCAAAGTGATCGATGTTTGTTCACATGCAGTACCGCTGTTTCGTTTACAGCCACCGTATCTGGGTTCGATTTGCGGGCTCGGAGGGTGCCCGGGTAAGGTTCGCCCATGAGTCAGGACAGTGAGACAGGTGGTTCAGATTTCTGTGCGCTCAGATTCGCGGCCTTTCGAATTTGAAGACCGAGCAGCTCCGAACCATAGTCCCAACTTGAGACTTGAGACTTCTGCAACCCTCAACCCCCCTGACTGCAATGATCACTCGGCAGCCGAAGCTTTCCAGCTTGCTAATCGCCTCCCTCTCCCATATAACCCCTCCTTGTAATGAAGCCCAATCAGGTAGGGTATTAGGAAACCCTGAACCCCGGTTGACGAGTCTGAACCCGTATCTTTGCAGACCTTGCCAGGCTTGTCCGAGTGTATGTGTCAAGAAAATCCCATGAGGACTTGCCAATTCTTGGCCCGGTGAGTGGCCCCTTGGCCGGCGTAGCCTGGAAGGCTCCCGAGATCTGAAGCCCAAGGGCATACTACTGGGCCTTATAATGGCCCGAAAAGTGGGGTTCCTTTTAATGGTGTTTTGTAACAGCCGTAACAGCTATTACGAGGGCTATTATCTCGATTTTTTCGGGGCCTGATTAATTGCCAATACTGTATATGTGAGGCCCATTTGGGGGTCCGGCGTATAGTTACAGTATACTGGGCCCCAAAACCCTTTTCTAATCCATCCTAATCGTGTCCCTAAGCCTCTTTGCCTTACCCTGCAAAGCGTTGGAAATCACCCCTGCTAGTGGTTCAATTGGTCTAGTAGTCGCCATCGTCGTGGCTGTGGCTGTGTTAGTGGTAATTATAGTGGCAAGGTATTTGAGAGCATGCATGCGTTGCATTGAGTAGCGCTGTTTGCTCGTTCTGCACCGGTCACTGGGTCGAGAACTTCCACGCTAAACCCCAAAGACCTACACAACAAACAAGAGTTGAATGCCCTGGCGGGCCCCGAAGTGCTGCAAGCGATTTTGTTCGTCAGGTCTGGGTTTTCATAGAAGCAGTCATCGCAGCCCGTCTTATGTTAGAAGCCAGAAAGCCCCCAAGACGCCTGGGCCGGTGGCCTAGGCGATCGATACCCTAATCGATACCCAATCGATACCCCAATCGATACCTGCTAGATCGTTTTATGAGCCACTGCCCCATGCAGTAAAGGTCAGCAGAGGGCAGTAAAGGGCAATAAAGGCTAGTAAAAGGCAGTAAAGAGCGGTAAAGGGCAGTAAAAGGCAGGTGAAGGGCGGTCAAAGGCAGTAAAGTAAAGGGCAGCAAATGGCAGGGCAAGGTACGAGCAGGATCAGTGAGTCTGATGGTTTTCTTACTTTCACAAGAGCAAAGCGATACCTCACAGAAACATGTGTCGGAATCCTTGTAAAGCCATAGGACCACCCCCAAATCATCCATGGTCTAGCCATGAGCAAGAAGTTTTGACAAACGCTCATATAGTATCGTCTTCAAGTGGATGTGCTTCAGAGATCTATAAGCAGTAAACTCTGGAGAAGTGCTGTGTGCAAACAGGTTCCCCCAACTACTTTATCTCATGGTGCTTGGGCACAATTTCCCTGAAGAGGCGTACGAGACTTCCGCGCAGATGAGCTGGAAGCATCCTGACGGCAAGCACTTGAATAGGCTGAGGGCTGCCGATTTGAGGGCCCTCAGTGCAATTTATGAGAAGCTGCAGCTGTTCGTGGAGTCCACATTTCTCCAGATCGATCTGAACATGGCAACCCATTAGCTCACTTTCAGCCGTTCAGCCCACTGACTGAACTGGAAATTGCTGAATTTGCATGTTTCCTCTGAAGCCTGCCTGGCAGACTGCCGTCGAGCAACGCAGGAAGCAGAGGTCCCACAAGCGCACCGAACCTTTCATCCCGGCCTGGAGTCGTGGACCGTATTTCCGTGGCCAAGAGAATCTGCACCAAGGAATCGCGCCCTCGTCGGCATGGACTGGATCAAGACGAAGCTGTTCGGCTGGGGACTCACCGAGCTCTTATAGTAGTGTAGTAGGAGCAGCTGCCGGACACTGCTCGGCTCCTGACAGTTGCTAGTCTTGACCCAACTGTCGGTCGTGGTATTCCTGGTAATATGCATAGTAATACTTGTTCCCAGCTCGTTGTCGTCTTCGTCGAGGTAGTCGTTTTGCTGCTTCTGCTGTTGCTGTCGGTGTCGGGGGGTGTTGTCAGTGATGGTGTCAGGACTACGTTAAAAACAAACAGTGCCCTGATCATTTCCACTCTCCACAAATCCCTACGTTTGGCTCTTAGCTCTGAACGATGGCGCTTGTGGAAGAAGTGTCTCGATGTGGGGCGTCGAAGTTAAGTAATGTCCATTAGTCGCTGGCGGTACTACTGGTGGGCATCGGCAGTGCGAGCCGTATCATACATACTACTGGTAGCCTAATCCGCAGCACGACCAATCCCCAAGAATCTTCGTGCACGAACCGCCAGCGACCCCTACCACAAACGCACGTTGCACTAGCATCGGCAGAAACTGATCGTTATGTTAATAGGGCATCGACATGTGGGGAAGGGATCGGCAGCAGCCGAACGTATGATTCTGTCTTTTGTGGCAGTAGTACCAGCATCAGAACAGCAAGTTTCTCAGATCCTCTCCATATACGCCTCTTCAAGGTCGAGATCCATCGCGCGTCTGACGCAAGTTTAACAGTTCGTGCAGATTTCAGAATTAAGAGCCGTTCTGCACTTGCGGCTGAAGAAGGTCCTGTCTGATCGGTCTTGTGTCTAGCTTGTCAACAATGTATAAGTACAAAGGTTCAGGGAGCTGATGCATAAGTCCATTGTGCAGAGCACCACGGGATTGGTACCAGCCTTACTAGCCATATTGAATATGACCTTCGACCAGCCGTATGCAGCAGGCAGTTTCGCATTCAGACAACACTACTTCGCATGCATTTGTGTCTCGGCTTTCGTCCCAAAGTGGGCACCTAATCTGTCGTGACCCTTGAAATGAATCAAGCGCAATCAACCGCAGGACACTTAGAGTCACAAATGTATTGTGATCGTCGGCGTATGTACAGCTTGTGCTGTTGAATTCTTTGGCACATCAAGATCCCCTTACACGTCCGTGCCAATGTCCGGACCGTTTGCAAGGGGATTCTCCACAAGGGCCAGTGGTTGGCAGTTCTTCCGGTATTTAGTGCGGCATTGTTTCCCTATATGACTACGTATGCCTTGAGGTATTGGAAGAATTGTTTGAATAACTTGGTTGAGGGCTATGGCTGGATATGCATGCTCGACGCCTGCCTTATTGATATAATTACCAGTACGACGCGATTACGGTTTGCTTCTGGTCTAGCAGCACAGCATCCCGGTGCGTGCCGCCGCAAAGAACGGCAGACAGAACGTTGCCTGTACTTGAGCATGGCAGTCCCCGCGCTTTTGCTGACCACTGCCCGTTGCAGTTCGGAAAGGGCTGCCCTCTCCTTGCCCTGGCTGACGATAGAAATGCCACACGAGTCATGAAATCTGAGCTGTGGACCTTCCTGCTCCGACTGTGAAAGCCGCCACGGCTCCGTGCTGGGATTGCTGTGATGGCGCATTTTCGTGTTTGGGTGCTATTTTCCATCATGTCTCTAAACATCTGCTTCGTCAGACAGCAACCCTTGCAATACAATGGGACTGTTTGTAGCTTTCTGCGTTAGCCGGCCCTGCGTAGCGTCCCAAAGGACTGAGCCCTCGCCGTCTCAAGATGGCGCAACTAGTTGCCGGAGTTCTCACAATAATTACTAGTTCATGTAAGAATGAGTTGAGAAAGGGCTTAAGGTATTATTATGGTACCATCTTGCGGCCGTGACTGTTGGGGTCGGAAGAATTACCACTACTCAGCCCCTATTGCTGCACATATATAACTATATAGCAGCAGCTGTATATAGCTCATTTTCGCATAGTTTATCATTTTAGTCCCTTTCTGCGACGGGGCCAGAAGCTCGATTGCTGAGTCCTTTGGGAACGAGCAACCTTCGGACAGGTAGCGCGATCGAATAGGGTGCTCCCCGGACGCGCAAGCTGTTCCAGTGTTTGAAA